GTCTCCGATCCAAGTACTAACCAGGCCCGACGTTGCTTGACTTGCCAGATCGGACGGGATGGCGTATTTTCAACGTGGTATGGTCGTACACATGATTCAGATTAAATGATAAAAGTAACAACAGGGGATAGAAGAACGGTTGAAAACAATCATCAAAATCATGAGTAGAGCATCTGAGAGATCAATAGTTGATCTCAGAGCTACGAGATCAATCAGACACATATGGTCAAATAGAGCATTTGATCTGATCTTTCGAGAAAATGCGGGAAGGAGAGTTGACCTAATGAATTCTCTTCCCTGAAATCATTAGATGGAAACATCTCCGTGAAACAGAGTTAAAATCTGCTTGCAGATTGCCATGTTTGGGGTTCATGGCTAGTTGGCTCACTCTTCACCAGTGGTAGAAGTTTGAGCCAGCGAACGTCCCCCGTCACGTTAAAAAAATAATTTATTTTGATTTTATTTTCAGGTTCTTCGGTGAAAGTCGTGGAGGAGCAAGAAGTTCGAAGACTTCTGGTTGTAAAGGGTTTATGAGTACAGTTGTTTGAAAGACAATAACACGGGATAAATTCTACACTTTAGAGAAGCAAATAGTTAAATAACGTAAGAAGAAGCATAACCATTGATATCTTGTTGAAAACTCAGTAATAATCAGATTCTAAGTGAATTTAACCGATTTTCGATGCCTCTTCATCATGAAAATAACAAACGAACAGCATATTCGAGTTTAAAATTCAATTCTGATATGAAACCACCCAAGAAACATTCATTTTCATTTAGATTCAGAAAAGTTACAGCGTTTCCCCAAAAAAGAACGACCGGGTCATTTTTTTTTTCACGTAAAAATTATTTCCACGTGACGCGTTTCCGCGGGGATATATAAGCCGTGGAGCTCCTGAATCATGTCAGTTGGCGGTGTGAGCTGATGAGCTCCACTCCTCTCTCTGGAGGTTCTCCAGAGAGGAGGAAAAAGCTCATCGGCTCGCAATGCCAGGGAAGAGACCTGGATAAGTTCAGGTCTTATCTCAAACGCACCGAGGTTGCATTCCAACACCAACCGCTCAGAACGGTTGCATTCCAACACCAACCGCTCAGAACGGTTGCATTCCAACACCAACTGCTCGGAACGGTTGCATTCCATTCGAAAAAAGCTATAAACCTCTTCACGGTAATAGCTTGATTCCTCTTCCAAAACTCTAATGAACAACCAGAACATCGAAATGGTGTGAACTCTTACTGTTTCTTTCCAAATGGCTTCGATTGGTTTCGCATNTGGTTTCGCATCTAACTTTTCGAGATTTCAACAGAAGGCAACCTCATGACAACAGAAAGGAATGAATCTCATGTTTGTGAAGAAGAGAATTTCAATGACGAGCAACCTAAACACTAATACAATCTCTCCATTCTTACTTTTAACGTTTTCAAGTTTCCTTCGTTTCGATTACATGAACGACCGGAATATTTGTTTTTTGATATAAAAATGCTTTTCTCGTAGCTTGTAGCTCACAGGTTTTTCACGAGATGGATAATCCTTCGAAGATCTAAAATGAATCAGATTGCAGTTTGAACCGATAAGCTTCACTCCTACCTTCCTGAAGTTTCCCTACTTCTCTCCTCCATTATGCGGAACACACCTACTGTATCTTCAAATCAATCAGAATCAGAATAATGATCAAACGGCTGCTCCTGACTGCCTTGTTATGAACTTCATCCCTTTCCTTCGTTATAACATTGATTGTAAGCTACTAACACACTGTTACTACTCGTCGTACTGCAACTG